ACACACACTCACTCTCACACACACAACACACACTCACTCACACACACACACACATACTCACTCACACACACACACACACACACATACTCACTCACTCACACACAGCCAATCTTCCCTCAGAGCCCCAGCAGCAGTGTCGCCACGCCCACCAGCACTTTAAGTACTCCATCCAGGAGGAGTAGCTGTGCCCTGCAAGACCTCTACATCCCCCCTCCTCCAGCAGAACCCTACACCCCGAGGTGAACGCACACATACACATAAAACACACGTAGTGCTCACATTACCAGTTATTAAAAGTACCCTGTGGAGTTCCCCATGGAACAATGTTTTTACCACTGACTGTATAAAGAACAATGGTTTGTGGGCTACTGCTTTGAAGCCTCGAGTTCTGCGTTATGGTCGTCGTCATTTCATTCTTTTGTAGTCAGCAGTGGGGAAGTACTGTGAGTTGAGCTGCACTCATTGGCTGCGCAGTTGTGACTCGCCCGTAGCAGCCCTGCCCTGTCACATATTCTCATATTACAGATAAATAGTACACTAAAATATGTTTCTGAAAACATTTTAAGTAAGAAATGGGAAACCGATTATCAGTGACCTAATTTGATTTATATTTAATCAGCACTGCCGAGTTTGACAATTTGATCTGAGTTTCTTGTGGTGTGCTGGACAGACTCACTGAGAATGACTTGTCAATCACACAACGTAAAACATACTCTGCTATATCGTCTATTTTACTCCAAATTGGAGCTTTATTTACAAAATTAACACCATGTTGCATAGAAGAAGACTTGAAACTGCCCCCTGAGACCATAAACCATTAGGAAAATGTTTACTGAGATATTAAATCAAGTGAGAAGTAGGGTATATACTATACTATACTATTGTACCTTTTATGCAGCCAATGGAGCTGCCCCCTGCTGGCCAAAGACATAGAATGCATGTAAGACACTTGCGCTTCACTTCACAGACTTGGACACTCTGTAACTGTCTAAACTAAGCTGGTGAACATGGTAAACATTGTATGTGCTTTACATCAGCATGTTATTGTCACTGCGAGCATGTTAGCATGCAGGTGTTAGCATTTAGCTCAACACACCACTGTGCAGAGCTGATAGCGTGGCTGTAGACTTCTCGTCTTTTTGTTATATACATTTTTAACTGACTGAGTGAAGGACTAAAACCCTGGTAAAGCCTGGTAATATTATTTATTTTTCTTATTGTCAACAAATCCCATGAAACACCAAAACCAAGAAAGCACTGACATTAACACTCACTAGAGCACCAAATGTATATGAATCCACAGCTAAAAATAGTCCACAATTTGTTCCTGTTTGAGTTAAACGTTTTTCTAAAAACTACAGTAGTTAACCTTTTAAATGATGAAAGTACATATATATTTGTTATTTTGGTCTGTTTTTATTTGCTGAGAGACAAAGACAGGCTGGACAAGGGAGAAAGTATTGAAAGAGGGACTAATGCATTGTTGGTTTTGGTCTTTTCATGGGATTTGTTGACAACAACAAATATATAGAATATCACCATACTTGTCATATTTACATGCTGAAGATGTAAAATGTTCCCCCTACAGTACATTCTGGTGATGGCCTTGCTTTTATTTGTCCAGATCTTCACTGACATTAAAACCACTTCCTGCTTTTACGTTACCACAGAGATGACAAGGGAAATCTACCGGGTGATGATCCTCAATCAGACATCCATGTCGCCGAAGGATCTGAGTCACCAAACTCCTACCTGGACCAGGAGTGTCGGGGGCAATTTCCTCTGGTGGAGGAAGATGCTATACTGTACTGTTATGAGTACGACCAGAACCAAGAGGTGTCATCAGTCCGCAGGGGGAGCACTCCCACATATGGTAAGACCTCGGCCTCGTCTGAGGACCCGCTGCTGTAATCGTGAGCGCCAAGAGCTTAAAGCCCCACGAATGTGACGTCTGTTTGCTCTTAAGATTCTTTTTGAGACGTCTGCGGCTGTTTGATGTGTGTGTGTGTGTGTGCGTGTGGGCAGCTGTGTAATATTGACGTTCGCCGCACCTCCTTGCTCCAGGCAGGCTCAGGCCCATCTCAATGCCGGTGGAATACAACTGGGTGGGAGACAACGAAGACCTGGCCAAGCTGAAGAGAGAGAGCAGGAGAGGTGAGTGGGAGGCAGTGGGAGAGAGAAAGAGAAAGGGAGGCAGAAAAAGGAGGGAGACAGAGGGACAGAGGGAGCTGAGGTGAGTGGGTGGATATCTCATAATATCCTCACCCTCTCAGATCTCCGAGCCAAAAAGTAGAAGGATGAGCTGGCCTGTCAAAACTGATAACATGCTGGATATCAATTCCTGCCTCTATCTCCTCCATATGTTCATAATCTATCAGTGCTCCTTTTTTTCCCTTCATCCCTCTCTCCCTATTTCTCCCCTTCTCGCTCTCAGCTTTGCTGTTCCTCTCTGTTTGGATATAAAAAGTACACTGTTGCTTTGGCAACTGCAGAAATATATCCAGAGATTTTCACATTTTGTTGGTGACTGTTGAGCTAGGTGGTAAATGGAGTGGGATGAGACTGAATTGCTTTATTTCAGTCTCAAAGAAAGACTTGAGTGATGTGTTTGTTTCCTCTGGGGATGGTGGTGATATGTTGCTCCTTTGGGCTTTTCAAAAAAAGTGATGGTGCTATATTTATCTACAAGAGACAGTATTTGGAAGTTTTGAGGCCTTCCTGCCTGACAACAACTATCGTCTGTAGATTTTTAATGCCTTTCAAATAAGTGGTCTTTTGAAACGTCAGCACTCACTGATCTCAGACAGAGAGATGGTTAAATCACAGGCAACTGACTGGCTTCACAATAGATTACAAAAAAGTTTGATCATTGTTGTGACATAAACTATTGTAGCAACTAATATGTGGTTAAATGTCCATCCAGTCAAGATGGAAAATTACTGAGTTTACTAACATGAAGCAGCGTCTTATAATTCAGATGCATTGTGTGGGACTGTACAGAGAGTTTAGTATGTAAACGATATATACTTTTAATTTCATATAGTGTGTGCAGTGCTGAGTTTGCCTTTGTTGTGCCCCGTCAGAGAATTCCCTGCTGCGTTTTGCGAGTGAAGATAAGACCCTGGGGGAGAACTTCCTGCTGGGACGCAGCCTGAGTCAGAACAGGAGGAAGACTGAGCGAGGAGGCAGCCCCACCCATTATACGCTCGTCCCAGCCCTCCAGATGGAAGTCTCTCTGTCCACATCCAGCTCTGACTCTGCCTCCCTCTACCATGTCAGTCCCTTGTGTCTGTGAAAATTCAAATTTGTAAACTAGTGTAGAAGCGGGACCGTTTTGCATCAATGGGATCCTCTGCATGTCATCATTCTTTTTTTACTTTGCAGGTGTTTGAACGCTCCTCACTGCTGTCAAGGTCAAAGAAGAAGAGTAAAGGTAAGAGCATCTGTTTAAGGAGTTTTACTTGAGCGCTCACAAGTACTCAAACTCAAATATGAGCAGGTGTTTCACGAGGAGTGTTATCTGACCCACTCGTCTGTTCTGCTCCCCTGCTGGCGCCTGCAGCTGGAAGTCCCATGTCTTCAATCAGCAAGCGGCGGATTTCCTGCAGGGACTTGGGTCAGGGGGACTGTGAGGGATGGCTGTGGAAAAAGAAGGATGCTAAAACCTATTTTTCGCAGAAGTGGAAGAAGTACTGGTTCATCCTGAAAGACACGTGCCTGTACTGGTACATGAATGAGGAGGTGAATATGCTTTTTTACAAAAGAGCAGTTCACAGCATAAAGCCTTGATTCATGATCTGGCATTTTGATTTGACTCTGGTTTGCTTGTCACAGGATGAGAAGGCAGAGGGCTTTGTCAGCCTCCCAGAGTTCAAGATTGATCGTGCCACTGAATGCAGAAGGAAGTTGTGAGTACTGATTATCTTAGATTTGCAATAGTTTTCCATTCAGCCTCAAAGCTAGACAAAAATAGACATTTCTTGAATACATTTCACAAAGCTAACAGAGCAGAGACGTCATGTTGCATGTTAAGAGACAAATCTACAAATGTATTATCTAATCTTGCATAAATTGGTTCTTGGCAGAAAAAACATTGGCATATTTACTGAATAATTTAGGAGACTGACCATGCAAAACGAACAGTTTACAGAGGATGCTTGACTCATAGACAATATGCACTTGCACTATCAACCAGCAACATTTTAGTTTTCTGACAGGTGAACAGCAGATGCATACATTGAATAAATAGTTGAATGTATGAAAGCAGCTAGGAATATTAGATGCAGAAGACAGAAATTACCTATCAGTACATAATGTCATAATACAGGGTTAGTTAAAGGTTAGTAGACCAAACAATGTAAAACAAAAAGTGTATAGATCACATTTTATCAGTGATATTTAACCAATTATAAGACAACTGTGTTGTGGTTTTGAATGTGAGTGAGGTATCTAGAGGGAGGTCTGATAATTTCTTGAGTGTTGATAGAGAAGGTTTATGGAGAGGTTGTAATGTAGACGGAAGAAACATTTATTGTGCTACATTTTAGAAAAGGTTTAGATACATTAAAGATACATAACCTTCTTCCAAAAAATGGAAACTTGACAGTAGCTTCTTTGCTCAAGGCCTCAAGGCTGAGTTAAAGGTCCCCTGTGGAGTTTTCTTCTGAACAATTAATTTGAGTCTGATCTTGATAAAGAAATCCTAATCTCTACTCTTTTAAAGATTCAGTGTCAGAGAAACCAAGGAAACATCCTTGCAGATCCCACAAAGACACAGATAGATGCAGATAATGAATGGGCTACTTGACACAGTACGCTTTCTGGCAAATAGCCGTCATCATGTTTGATGGGTTTGTTGTTCACTAATGGGTTAAATGCCAGCAGTCAGGGGTTTTTCAAATTATTATGAGGGTGTTGTGTTTCATAATTATGGCTTTACCTTCCTATATCTATCTTATTCATGCCACTCAGCTTCTGGGTGTTTGCATGCACATTTAGTGAAACAGTCTCAGACTTATGTAAAGCTCCAAAGAATAAGCAGAGTTTATTTTATGATGCAAAGTATTCCTGATTTTGTGTCAGTCTGAACTACTCTATGTGTGTGATCTGTGCCTGTTTATCTCAGCAGTCTCCTGTATTCATATGTTAATGTGTGCTATATGTCCCTGTTCTTGTGCTTACATGCGATTGAATATACCCTCGACTCCCTTTCAGCGCTTTCAAGGCATGCCATCCGAAGATAAAGACGTTCTACTTTGCAGCAGAAAATGTAGACGACATGTCCCGGTGAGTTAATGAGGCTGTGAAAGTCATAGCATAAACTCCCCCAATCCCACGGCCACATTTAAACCCCTGCTGGCCGGAAATTGAATCCCCCAACCAGGACTGCCCACTCTCCTTGAAACAGAGCAGTTTTGTAAGGTGATTGGTCAAACAGGGAGACACACACACACACACACACAGGCACGGTGGTTTATTGGATGTCAAGCTGCTGTGCGTCATTACTGTTATTCTCCCCCACAGGTGGCTGAGTCGTCTGAGTATGGCAGTGGCAGGCTACTCCGAGCAGGAGAAAATTCGCCAGGACCAAGGTGAGATTAGTCACAGACTCCAGAAAAATATTCTTCGTCTGTTACAGGTTGCTGGTCAACGGTTATATAAAACTGTTGACGTTAGGCAGTGGGACATTGTGCTATTACTTTTAGACTGAGGAATCATATATAATGAATGACGATCGTAATGACGAATGCATGGATAATTATTTTGCCTATTCTTCCCTTGGCGAGGCTTTCATTTACCATCACAGGTTCACTGCAGTAATTTTCCATCACAGTTTATCTTACGGCGACAGGATCCATGACTTTAACACAAAAAGTGTTAAAATCTGCTTCTTAGCTAATTTATTTTCCTCTTAATATGTCTCTAGAAAACGCTGTTCCCTAAATAATGATTGGTATATGAATATTAGGGCAAATTGCTTTGGATAAGATCTTGTCAGGTCACTACCAGTCAGCATATTGAGTGTTGCTTCTTTTCTTTTTCACACATTCTTTAAAGTGAAGAGTTTGGAAACTACTATTTGTCAGAATCGTTTCATTAGTAGATAAACCCTCACTGTTTTTTTCAGCTTCAATCAATGTTGTTTTCTCATTGCTGTTAGTTGATTGTCATAGTTAGAGGGGTTAAAGGAGATAAATATGGAATTGAATTGCTTAAATGATAACCTTGGAACACCCTCTGTGATGAGATGCAATTACCTGGAAAAACAAGTCCTGATGTAGAAAATTCAATAAATAGATCTTATTTGTCGATCAGTGGCAGAGGCTTTTTAACACCTCTCTCGGTTTCACTTCCACTTCACATTTGATTTAAGCATCTCTGCTTTTTACTGAATATTAATGCTAATTTTAGGGACTGAAGGCGTGCTTCTTATTTTCATATTCTGGTGTTCTTTGGCTTCTCACAAATGGACAGGAAATAATATAACTAACTCTTGTGCTATTTCGAGGAGCCTACGTAGAAACCTTGCAAAGGTGGGTGGGTGTGATATCAGGTTGGTCGTTTTTTTTTTTTTTTGGGGGNNGGGGGGGGGGCATCATCCTTCACAGACAAGTTGCTAAATTATATCCTTAACACCTCCAGAAGACTTAACAAGAAGTTCTCTCACATTCATCCTTCTTCACACTCAGCCTTAACAATAGTCACACCTACACCATAGCGACACTGCAGCTACACCTTTCAAAACACTCATTCATAGGCAGAGCTGATCTTTCTGACCTGATGCAGCAGTTAAGAAGTTAAATCTATCAGAAATATGTTTGTGGTTAGTATTAGCTTTAAACTAAAGTCTCATAAGCCACAACTAGCCTCAGTTTATTTAAATCCAGGTGGGAAAATTCTGATACAGGTGTGAGTATAACTGTTTTTTTAAAATAAGAGGCTTGTTTTTTTTCATTACAGATTACTGGAGTGAGAGTGATCACGAGGACCTGGAGATGCCCTCGATGCCCAAACAGGACAGTCCTCCACCACCTTATGACACCTATCCCAGAGCATCCTCGGTGAGTCTGTCAGCCTACAGTTTTATAGATGGATATCGCCCCAAGTTTTACTTGCTGATCGTGTGTTTGTGTTTAGGTGAGTCCCTACCTGGAGCCGAAACGTGGCCATCTCTCCTCCTCTGACACGTTCCAGTCCCGCTCCTCTCATGAGGAGTTCCACTCTGAGCCTCCAGACGGCAGCAGCAGCAACAACAGCGTGTCCCCCGGGCAGAAGACTAGCATCCACAGAAACTCATGGCAGGACCAGATGGAGAGCAACGCGAGGATGCACTACCTCCAGACATTTCCTGTGGAGGAGACCATGCTCTCTGGCGACAGAGACCAACTGGCAATGGAGTACCGCAGGCAGTCCACTCTGCCCGCACAGCGCAGCCTGCTGCAAGAGCAGTACAGGGCCCTGCCTCTGCCCCTCAGGGCCAGTATCGATTCAGAGGCGGGAGGGAAGCCACGCAGCTTCACGCTACCCAGAGACAGCGGGCTGCACGCTATCCTGGCTGCCACCGCCGCCGCGGATCAGAGAGAGCCCCAGCACTACCACCTGGACAGGGCCAGAGACACTGGTCAGAATCTGTGTTTTACATCTTTTCACATGTACCACAAGCACAGATGTTACAGAATACAGTATATTCAGCATCACAGTAGAACTAAAACTGAAATCATCACTTAATCAAAAAAAAAAGTGTCACTTTGGGAAATTGTGACTACTAGACACATTGATTAATTACAAAAAAATAACCAACCGAAAGATGTATAAATAATACACATAATAATGAACCAGAAATATGCTCACACACAACCATTTGTTTGTGCATACATGTACCCCAGGGGGTGCTCCTGCAGTTGCCATGGGGTACTTGAAAAGAATATAAAGTAGCTCAGCTAAATTAAAAAATTGGAAATTATGATTTTGTAAAAACAAAAAAGGAATTTGCGTTTAGGAGGAAAATAAACACACACATTGGGGTTACAAATTACAGCTGCACAGGACATGATTCCCAACAACCTGAGTCACTTACTGTACTGTAGCACCTTCACACCACATGCTGCGATTTAGATTGTGTGAAAACTAGTTTGCAAGTAAGCAGAGAAGTTGAAATAGATCGGCAGAAGATAAACTGTTGAAATGTCGAGCTTCTGCCACTCCAATAAGTGCTGGTACCAGTACAAACTGATTAAAAGTCAACATGGACGATTTCACATGTCTTGTAAGGAAAATGAGTGTAACAACAGTGTTAAAAATCTACTTTAAAATTCAATTTTAGTTTCAAATGAATGTGTAGTGTTGATAAAGGGCTAAGCCAATCTGACAGGGCTGTGGGGATATGACGGAGAACACTAAGATCATCAGCCTTTGATCTCCAAATGTATCTCCAAATTCCTGCTCACTCTTACATGCAGATCAGTCTTTTCATCTGCATACTGTTGAACAAGTGTACTTATTTGTCTTCAGTTATTTTGTCAAAGCTGCTAACAGGCAGTCAGGGCCAGCAAATGTCAGAGGTTGAACACTCGCTATCATTGCTTTATTGGATTGGATTTGAAGCCAACCCATTTGCCGTCCCTCCAAGACCTCCGGGGCTGTTGTCTAAGTGAGATGGAATTTAGTGTCTTAGTTGATAGTGATTTCTCTTGGCAGTCCACTCTCTCACACACTCACGCTCACTCTTTCTATCTCTTTTCTTCTCTTCTCTCTCTCTCTCTCTTGCCCGATCGAGATGTGAAGCAAGGAGGAATCCTTTCAGCCCATGTTAGTGTTGAATTGTGAACAGGATAAAGAAACAGGCCCAAGGGTCCTCTCGTCTTGTCCTAATTTATCTATCGCTCTACCGTTCACTCTCTCCACCACTGCATGTAAAGAGGAGAAAGAAACACAAAACAGGCAGCAAATAAAGCATGATACATTTCAAAGCACAGCCCCAAAGCTTCAGAACCTACCACCCTGCTTTCAAAACACAAAACAGAGTGACGACGAACAGATTCAGAGCACTAGTGTAGTGTTAGTATCATGCCAACAGAGGGCAGTGTATGTAAACAGGAGACAAGAGGGGTCCTGGTAGTGTATTAGCATGATGTATGAGCTGTGTACTCAGTGTTGTAGCTTAGAGGCCATTTCCCCCTGAAGAAAATACCCTAATGAAGAGACAGGCCACAGAGTGTTGTATTAGAAAAAGCAGAAAATGTCTGAAATTATCACTTTTTTAAGTAAACAAAACCTAAATTATAAAAACAGACATTTGTAGATAGTTTGGGTTTTTGTTCTTGCTGAGATTTTGAGATTGACTTCAAAGAGTTCGACTCATTTTAGCAAGCAGTGCTAAGAAACCAGTAGTGGAATACAACAGTACTCAAGTACTTGTGCTTTATTTGAGTATTTCCATTTTATGCTCTTATAAGCTCTTTGTTCTAGGCTTCTCCTTGTCCTAAATTAAAGTAAAGTGAATATATTTGAGCTTTGACAAAACCATACCTTTGAAAGTGTCACTCTGGTTCTTTTACAAACCAAAAAATCAATCAATAAATTGAGAAAATTATCAGCCGATTAATCCACAATGGAAACTGTTATTAAAAAAAAAGAAATACAAAAGACTACAAAAGTAAAATGTTGCTCACACATTAACGCATGATAAATAAATCATACCTTTATATAATGAAATAACCTTTTCTAATTACATTTACATACTTTTATTGAAGTAACATTTTCAGTGCAGGACTGTGCCTGGTGCCTTTATCTGTTTCACGCGTGGGAGAGGTGAGAAACGTAACTCTCGATTCCTTTGTGTTGTCTGGTGCATGCGAAGTAATTGACATTAAAAGCTGACTTTGACTTTTGAAAACCCACACAGTAAAAATACTCCATTAAAAGTAAAAA